CAAAATACTGCCTAAAGGATAAAAAGTAAACCGATAACCAATGAAAGAACTTCATGTTAGTGCAATTTTGCAAGATGCTCAGAAAATTTCAATGTCTCAACAACATCACGATTAACAATATGTTAATCAACTATATGGTATCACAAATAGTTCTTGTACAATATGTGAAATGTAGCAATTCAAAAACATATACTTAAACTTTAGTAGTTATTAATGATTAAACCCTAACTACTTGCGGTAAATATGATGATGGTTGTACTTAAATTTATACAAATAAGAAAAGTAATTATGTATAATCACCAAACACATACTAGCCTTTTTGGAAGTCGAAGGCAAATTTCTAATTAAGTAACAATGCCACTTGCACATTCCAATAAATTTTACTATGCAACCAGTTAAGCTTATTGAATTGTCATTTTTGTTGATCTATGTAGAATCATATCCTTGGTTAAGATATGGAGATCTATCTGATAACTTAACCTATACCATTGTTTAAGCAATTTAATGTATCGATAGCTATTTCTTAGTCAATATAGCACATCCATAACTACATCCACTATTATTGCAGTTATTCTTTCAACAACAAGTCTGACAATTATCACAATAATCTACTAACACAAATAATGTCTTTGCTTCATGTATACTCATTGTAATCCTTATGTTAATGTAACATGTTTAAGTTGTCATCATCAACCAATCTTGAAACTGATAATTAAATAAAAGCAATTAACTCTGTGTGTTGATTGGTAATATAATTATTTCAAAGGAACCTATTGAAGTGGCTATGGTCTGGATATAGCTCATTTAATATTCCAGGAAACTATGCTCAACTTAAACCAGCTGATACTACTCGGAGAATAGATGGATTTTTTATAGTATGGAAATTGCTATTCGGATTGATTAATACAATGGAAATTTCTATTCTTGTTATAGGGTTATGCACTTTGTTTCATTTACAAAATGTTAAACATGATGTTAACCTTGTACATCTTAATATGGTTGTGTGAAGGCCTTTTGTAGAATGTCACCTATACAAATATGGATTCACACGTGATAAACAAGAGTGTTTTACTATAATTATCGAATTGTAAATCGCGCTGCAAAGTTGGTAAACTAGAAATCTAGTTGAACTAGATATTGCCATTCCTATCTCTTCAAGCACTTATAGCAAAATGGTTGTCACCTACTTCATTTAACCACTATAGAGTGTGCTGTCAGTTGTAACTGTCCTAGCATCACCTAATAAAAAGAACATTTTGTGATGACTTAAACAATATCTATTGCATCTGAGAGTAGCTCTGATTTATTCTTTTGATTTGGGAATTTTTTTCATATTGAATTTCATAAATAACTGCATTCTTTCCTTAGTAATCGGCTAATTGATTACTTAACTCTTAAATGAACATTCCCTTCTCCTTTTCTTGACCACATTTCGGAGAACCTTTCTTCCCCTGACTAAGCTGCTGTATTCTGAATCCTAATTGTCTTGCTATATTACGAATAAGCGTTCAGATAATCAATCCAGTAATATTACATGGTGGCATATATCTAAATTATGTCTTGATTACGTGAAAGGATTTCATATTATTTATGTTCTATTCGATAATTGGTCCTATCTTTGAATAATATCTTTATAATGTTTAAATGCATCTGTCCTTTTTGAATTCTGGTCACGCATTCTGATAAATTCTGTTCTTTCTGAAAACCATCTAATTATATGTCTGTT